GCTCGGACTATCTACGCTCGGACTATCTACGCTCGGACCATCTACGCTCGGACTATCTACGCTCAGACTATCTACGCTCGGACTATCTACGCTCGGACTATCTACGCTCAGACTATCTACGCTCGGACTATCTGGGACTATCTGTGCTTGGACTATCTACGCTCGGACTATCTACGCTCGGACCATCTACGCTCGGACCATCTACGCTCGGACTATCTACGCTCAGACTATCTACGCTCGGACTATCTGGGACTATCTGTGCTTGGACTATCTACGCTCGGACTATCTACGCTCGGACTATCTACGCTCGGACCATCTACGCTCAGACTATCTACGCTCAGACTATCTACGCTCAGACTATCTACGCTCGGACTATCTGCGCTCGGACTATCTGCGCTCGGACTATCTGCTCGGACTATCTACGCTCGGACTATCTACGCTCGGACTATCTACAATCGGACTATCTACAATCGGACTATCTACGCTCGGACTATCTACGCTCGGACTATCTACGCTCGGACTATCTACAATCGGACTATCTACAATCGGACTATCTACAATCGGACTATCTATGCTCGGACTATCTACGCTCGGACCATCTACGCTCGGACTATCTACAATCGGACTATCTACAATCGGACTATCTACGCTCGGACCATCTACGCTCAGACTATCTACGCTCAGACTATCTACGCTCAGACTATCTACGCTCGGACTATCTGCGCTCGGACTATCTGCGCTCGGACTATCTGCGCTCGGACTATCTACGCTCGGACTATCTACGCTCGGACTATCTACGCTCGGACTATCTACGCTCGGACTATCTACGCTCGGACTATCTACAATCGGACTATCTACGCTCGGACTATCTACGCTCGGACTATCTACGCTCGGACTATCTACAATCGGACTATCTACAATCGGACTATCTACAATCGGACTATCTATGCTCGGACTATCTACGCTCGGACTATCTACGCTCGGACTATCTACAATCGGACTATCTACAATCGGACTATCTATGCTCGGACTATCTACGCTCAGACTATCTACGCTCGGACTATCTACGCTCGGACTATCTACGCTCGGACTATCTACGCTCGGACTATCTGCGCTCGGACTATCTGCGCTCGGACTATCTGCGCTCGGACTATCTGCGCTCGGACTATCTACGCTCTGACTATCTACGCTTTGACTATCTACGCTCGGACTATCTACGCTCGGACTATCTGCGCTCGGACTATCTGCGCTCGGACTATCTACGCTCGGACTATCTACGCTCGGACTATCTGCGCTCGGACTATCTACGCTCGGACTATCTACGCTCAGACTATCTACACTCAGACTATCTACACTCGGACTACAATTGTACGTGAAACTAGCAGTAATCTTTCAGTTATATATTTTGTTAGCAGTGCGTTGCTTTTGTACCATTTTGTACCATTGGGGGGCGGGGCAGAACAAACCTTGCAGAAACGGGTATAGCTCCTTTAATCTGACACATTCTGACTGTGTTTAAACCAGATTCTCCAACGGGACAAAGACATTTAGACTTATTGTAAGATCTGTTGCCTCATTTTATCGTTCCAAAAGAGACATTTCTTGAATTTTTTAGAAACAAGATCATTTTGCTTTTGTCACGTCGGTAAATCTCGTTTTAAAGCAGTCAGATGAGCTCAAAATAAGGTTCATCTCTTTTTGAGGAATGGGTTCTTTGGGTTTGTTTCGATCCTGAACCAAATATTTCCGTAGCTAAGCAGTAAAACACAATGCTGCAGTGTGTGTTTGAGCTCCTTTAAGTCGCACCACACCCGCCTCATGTTATAGACTGCTGTTGTAAACTGTATATGAGGCTTCAGAGGCAGAGCGCCGTGACTGCTGCCAACACTCAGGAGTCTTTCAAGTTTTGCTGGAGTTCCACAACGAGCTTTACTCAGAAGTTTTCAGACTGGGCCAGATTCTAGACCTGGGTATAACTCAATACTATCTCAAGACAAGAGACTCAATACAACAACACTAAGACAGCACGTAAAACTGTTGTCAATACAGGGAAGTGATAATAATAATAATAATAATAATAATTCACCAGTTTTATATTGCGCTTCTTGGACACTCAAAGACATCTCATTCTTTCATTCCACACACATTGGTGATAAACTACTACTGAAGCCACAGATGCCCTGGGGCACCTGGTGTGTGCATGAATGCCACCAACCACACACACACCAGATTCATTCTACGCAATGTGGGTGAAGTGTCTTGCCAAAGGACACAACAACAGTTTTGCACTTTAAGGCCGCCCCTCTGAGGCACCTGGTGTTCCCAGACGTCTCCCATCACAGTACTAACCAGGCCCTGCCCTGCTTAGCTTCAATGCCTATAGCTCTAAATAAAATACACAAAATCCTCTGACCACAGCAACACAACCATCGTCTTTACAAACTGTTCTTTGATTGGGTTTTCTGATTCTCTGATGTGTGGATGCTGCGGACGCAGTGTTTTGCTTGAAGGAGAATGAAACGGCCGGACTAAAGTCAGAAGTGCTTATCCCCCTTGATAATAAAACTAGGTCATAAGGCAGGTTAAATGCCCGATCATTCTGTCACCCTGTGTCACTCAGAGTTTAGGAAAAGATGCTCTGGGATTTTGGTGAACATTCCTGAGTAGTTGCTCAGAGAGAATGAGGCTCGTCACAGACTCAAACACACACAACACACAGAGGAACATTAGGTCTTCTTCACAGACGTAGAGTTGCCATAGCCACTGTTTTTGTCAACTTACCATAAATCTATTACCACGTTTAGTCTCGTCTTGGAGATTTCAGACTTAAACTCAGAGCCTGAACTCACGTCTGCTGCAGTTATGTCACTTTTCAACACCTTCCTGTGTTTTATTCCACCACCAAATGAACGCTAGCATAGCCACGACAAGCGCTGGAGCCTCAATACTTTGCTAACGCTGTAACCCAAACGCACACTCATGGCTGCATCGTCGCGCCGCGTTAGCAAAGTCCAATGTCTATTTTCTTAAGCTGACGTCACAGTCCTAACGTCTGTCCAGATGTTTTTACAGTCAAAATATATCTGCGCATGTTTGACCGCTGCTGCTACTGTGGTTAAGTGAGTAAATCCTGCAACATCAATGGAAAAACTCTGAGTCATTTGGTCTGGACAGGAACTGAGTCTAACGGCATACCTACGAGATCCCGATTCAGAAATGATCACATCCCAGAATAATATCACCGCCCACGCGTGAAGTAAGTGTCTGCGTTTTTAGAGGACGGGGCGTCGGGGCCGAGAAAACAGAAGTGTGGAAGGCCGTCTGAGCGGGCCCCGAGTCGCTTGAATTTACGATGACAACAGGGAGGGGCCACGTGTAGCTAGAATAATACAGTACTAATACTAATACAGTACTAATACTAATACAGTACTAATACTAATACAGTACTAATACTAATACTGTACTAATACTAATACAGTACTAATACTAATAAAGTACTAATACTAATACAGTACTAATACTAATACAGTACTAATACTAATAAAGTACTAATACTAATACAGTACTAATACTAATACAGTACTAATACTAATACTGTACTAATACTAATACAGTACTAATACTAATACAGTACTAAATACTAATAAAGTACTAATACTAATACAGTACTAATACTAATACAGTACTGATACTAATACAGTACTAATACTAATACTGTACTAATACTAATACAGTACTAATACTAATACAGTACTAATACTAATACAGTACTGATACTAATACAGTACTAATACTAATACAGTACTGATACTAATACAGTACTAATACTAATACTGTACTAATACTAATACAGTACTGATACTAATACTGTACTAATACTAATACAGTACTAATACTAATACAGTACTAATACTAATACAGTACTGATACTAATACAGTACTAATACTAATCTCATGGTCAGTACTTAAATGTGATTGACACGTATACAGCCGCTGACTAGTTTCTTGTAATTCCTTGGCTTGTGAAAGCGGCTGTGGTCTGATGTGATTACAATGTGTACAGAGGGCCTAATCTACTGAGTAACATGTATGTGCCATATTTCTGTAAACAATTTGAACAGAATGAGGCCGTCACCACCACACACCGGACTGACAGAACATGTTGGTTTCTTCTGAGTTTGGTTCACTTTAGCTGGGCTCATTCTGGTTGGTTTTTGGCTGAATTATGTTATTTGTGGATTTAAAACTTCCAAAGAAAGAGAGAGACCAGAGAGAGACTAAAGAGAGAGTGAGAGAGAGAGAGAGAGACCAGAGAGAGACTAAAGAGAGAGAGAGAGAGAGAGAGAGAGAGATAGGGACCAGGGAGAGACCAAAGAGAGAGAGAGAGAGACCAGTGAGAGAGTAGAAAGAGAGCAGAGAGAGAGACCAGTGAGAGACTAGAGAGAGAGAGAGAGAGAGACCAGAGAGAGAGAGACCAGAGAGAGACCAGTGGGAGACAGATATAGACCAGAGAGAGACTAGAGAGAGAGACCAGAGAGAGAGAGACCAGAGAGAGACTAGAGAGAGAGACCAGAGAGAGAGAGACCAGTGAGAGACTAGAGAGAGAGAGAGAGAGAGACCAGAGAGAGAGAGACCAGAGAGAGACCAGTGGGAGACAGATATAGACCTGAGAGAGACTAGAGAGAGAGACCAGAGAGAGACAGACAGAGAGACAGAGAGAGACCAGAGAGAGAGAGACCAGAGAGAGACCAGTGGGAGACAGATATAGACCTGAGAGAGACTAGAGAGAGAGAGACCAGAGAGAGACAGACAGAGAGACAGAGAGAGACAGATATAGACCAGAGAGAGAGACCAAAGAGAGACTACACTCATTCTCCCCATTCCAATCTCTCCCCATGTTTTGCTGGTGTGTTGCTGGTAGAGTCTGTCTGGGGCTGTTGTGTAGCTGTTGTGTTGCTGTTGTGTAGCTGTTGTGTAGCTGTTGTGTAGCCGGTACAGACCTGCACCACAGGGTGTCCGCTCAGGGCCTTCACGGCTCCTCGGCTCCCCTCGGTCTCATAGTGCGCTCTGTGGTGGGACCGGGGCTGGACCTCCATCTGCAGAGAGTAGGGGCCCGAGGAGGAGGGCAGCTGCCAGTCCAGGGCGGGCAGGGACGGGCTGACCACACACAGAGAGAGACACACACATACACAGAGACAGAGACACACACACACACACACACCAACACACAGAGACACACACACACAAACACACACACAGACAGAGACACACATACAGAGAGACACACACACACACCACACAAAGACACACAGAGACACACACACCACACAGAGACACACATACACAGAGACACACAGATACACACACGCAGAGAGACAGAGAGAGAGACACACACACATAGATACAAAGAGACACACACACACACACACACACAAAGAGGGAGACACACACACACAGAGAGACACACACACCACACACAAAGAGAGAGAGAGAGACACACACACACACACACACACACAGAGACACAGAGAGACACAAAGAGAGACACACACATACATACAGAGAGAGAGACAGACAGAGAGACAGAGACACACACACACACACAGAGACACACACACAAAGACACACAGACAGACACACACACACAGAGGGAGACACACACACAAAGACACACACAGACACACAACACACAGAGAGAGAGACACACACACACACAGACACACAACACACAGAGAGAAAGAGACACACACAAATAAAGACACACACAGACACACACACACACAACACAGAGAGAGAGAGACACACACACACACACACACAGGGTTATTTCAGACCTGTTATCGAAGCAGAATGTGCAGATTGTGAACACAGAGATACGCCAAAGCTCGAGAGCAGCAGAAGAACGCGGCTCCTGACGCGGTTTAGCTCCTGACCTTTGGGAGTAGCTCTACTGTTGCTCTACTGCTGCTCTGCTGCTGCTCTATTGTTGCTCTACTGCTGCTCTACTGCTGCTCTACTGCTGCTCTACTGTTGCTCTACTGCTGCTCTGCTGCTGCTCTATTGTTGCTCTACTGCTGCTCTACTGCTGCTCTACTGCTGCTCTACTGCTGCTCTACTGTTGCTCTACTGCTGCTCTACTGTTGCTCTACTGCTGCTCTACTGCTGCTCTACTGCTGCTCTACTGCTGCTCTACTGTTGCTCTACTGCTGCTCTACTGTTGCTCTACTGCTGCTCTACTGCTGCTCTACTGTTGCTCTACTGCTGCTCTACTGCTGCTCTATTGTTGCTCTACTGCTGCTCTACTGCTGCTCTACTGCTGCTCTACTGTTGCTCTACTGCTGCTCTACTGTTGCTCTACTGCTGCTCTACTGCTGCTCTACTGCTGCTCTACTGTTGCTCTACTGCTGCTCTACTGTTGCTCTACTGTTGCTCTACTGCTGCTCTACTGCTGCTCTACTGCTGCTCTACTGCTGCTCTACTGCTGCTCTACTGTTGCTCTACTGCTGCTCTACTGCTGCTCTACTGTTGCTCTACTGCTGCTCTACTGCTGCTCTACTGTTGCTCTACTGCTGCTCTACTGTTGCTCTACTGCTGCTCTACTGCTGCTCTACTGTTGCTCTACTGCTGCTCTACTGCTGCTCTACTGCTGCTCTCTACTGCTCTACTGCTGCTCTACTGCTGCTCTACTGTTGCTCTACTGCTGCTCTACTGCTGCTCTACGTGCTCTACTGCTGCTCTACTGCTCTCTACTGTTGCTCTACTGCTGCTCTACTGTTGCTCTACTGCTGCTCTACTGTTGCTCTACTGCTGCTCTACTGCTGCTGCTTACTGCTGCTCTACTGTTGCTCTACTGCTGCTCTACTGCTGCTCTACTGCTGCTCTACTGTTGCTCTACTGTGCTCTACTGCTCCTACTACTGCTGCTCTACTGCTGCTCTACTGTTGCTCTACTGTGCTGCTCTACTGTGCTCTACTGCTGCTCTACTGTGCTCTACTGCTGCGCTCTACTGCTGCTCTTGCTGTTGCTCTACTGTTGCTCTACTGTTGCTCTACTGTGCTCTACTGCTGCTCTACTGTTGCTCTACTGTTGCTCTACTGCTGCTCTACTGTTGCTCTACTGCTGCTCTACTGCTGCTCTACTGTTGCTCTACTGTTGCTCTACTGCTGCTCTACTGCTGCTCTACTGTTGCTCTACTGCTGCTCTACTGCTGCTCTACTGTTGCTCTACTGCTGCTCTACTGCTGCTCTACTGTTGCTCTACTGCTGCTCTACTGCTGCTCTACTGCTGCTCTACTGTTGCTCTACTGCTGCTCTACTGTTGCTCTACTGCTGCTCTACTGTTGCTCTACTGCTGCTCTACTGCTGCTCTACTGCTGCTCTACTGCTGCTCTACTGTTGCTCTACTGTTGCTCTACTGCTGCTCTACTGTTGCTCTACTGCTGCTCTACTGCTGCTCTACTGTTGCTCTACTGCTGCTCTACTGCTGCTCTACTACTGCTGCTGCTACTGCTGCTCTACTGTTGCTCTACTGCTGCTCTACTGCTGCTCTACTGTTGCTCTACTGCTGCTCTACTGCTGCTCTACTGTTGCTCTACTGTTGCTCTACTGCTGCTCTACTGTGCTTACTGCTCTGCTCTACTGCTGCTCTACTGCTGCTCTACTGTTGCTCTACTGTTGCTCTACTGTTGCTCTACTGCTGCTCTACTGTTGCTCTACTGTTGCTCTACTGCTGCTCTACTGTTGCTCTACTGCTGCTCTACTGCTGCTCTACTGTTGCTCTACTGTTGCTCTACTGCTGCTCTACTTGCTCTACTGTTGCTCTACTGCTGCTCTACTGCTGCTCTACTGTGCTCTACTGTTGCTCTACTGCTGCTCTACTGTTGCTCTACTGTTGCTCTACTGCTGCTCTACTGCTGCTCTACTGCTGCTCTACTGTTGCTCTACTGCTGCTCTACTGTTGCTCTACTGCTGCTCTACTGCTGCTCTACTGCTGCTCTACTGCTGCTCTACTGCTGCTCTACTGTTGCTCTACTGTTGCTCTACTGCTGCTCTACTGTTGCTCTACTGCTGCTCTACTGCTGCTCTACTGTTGCTCTACTGCTGCTCTACTGCTGCTCTACTGCTGCTCTACTGCTGCTCTACTGTTGCTCTACTGCTGCTCTACTGCTGCTCTACTGTTGCTCTACTGCTGCTCTACTGCTGCTCTACTGCTGCTCTACTGTTGCTCTACTGCTGCTCTACTGCTGCTCTACTGTTGCTCTACTGCTGCTCTACTGTTGCTCTACTGCTGCATATTCCCATTTTTGCACAACTTAAAGAAGAACAATTATGCACTTTTTTGACCAATAATTCTGTGTTTTCTTCCAGATTAATGAATAAATGAATTACTGCAAACACATGAAATGGGGACTTTTGCAAATCTATTCCAATGTGGTTTTACTGCAAATGGAAAATGAAATGACCTTCTCAAGACCTGGACTTGGACCGACTGAGACGACTGAGATCATGTGGACCAGACAAGACAGGCCTGGACTGAAGCTAACCGAAGCAGACCGCAGTAGACTGGACAATCTCACAGTCTCTGGAGGGTCCCGTCCTTGGGTCCGGATCTCATGAAACAGACCCAAACGTTTCAATCCTGCGCCAGAACGATCTCGAACGTGTTCTCGCAGGCCCAAGTCTAATCAGGCACATGTTAGCACCATATTTCTGCACACAAGTCGACCAAAAACCAGGCTAACAGATACCACCACCCAAAACCAAATTCAGCCTTCCAAGAGGTCCAGAGTGACCGGAGGGCTCGGCGGGATTGTGTGAAGCCTCTTTCCTCCGTCACTGAACATTAGCCGAGACACAGAGCAGGGGCTTCTGGGTAAAGTAGATACAGCTTCGTGTAGCGTGTGATTATCCAGAAGTTGCTCAACTCTATCTCTACAGAAAGTGAATGATACAGTACAGAGGGAGCAAGGGCTGGACCTGGGACCTGTCCTGCTCCACCTGCGGCTACACCCACCCTGCTCCACCCGCGGCTACACCCACCCTGCTCCACTCACGCTACACCCACCCTGCTACACCCACGCTATACCCACCCAGCTCCACCCACGCTACACCCACCCTGATCCACCCGCGGCTACACCCACCCTGCTCCACCCGCGGCTACACCCACCCTGCTCCACCCACGCTACACCCACCCTGCTACACCCACGGCTACACCCACCCTGCTCCACTCACGCTCCACCCACCCTGCTCCACCTGTGGCTACACCACCTGCTGCTGTGAACTAAAGTACTTTATTACTATTGTAAGTCACTTTTAGAAATATGTATTTGTTTGTTTGGATGGATGTGTTTTTGCTGCTACTTGACACATGTAAATCTCCTACAAGGATCTATATAATATCCATCTATCTATCTCTCTGTCCATGTGTCTATCTCTCTCTCTGTATCCATCTATCTATCTGTCCATCTACTGTACATGTATCTATTTGTCTATACTGTATCTATCTATCTCTCTCTCTATTTACTTATCTGTCTGTCCATCTATCTATTTGTCTATATCTATTTATCTATCTCCCTCCCTCTCTCTATCCATCTGTCCATTTATCTGTCTTTCCATCAGTCAATCTGTCCGTCTTTCTCTTGAGAGAAACAAATACTCTCTGCTCACCTGATGTATGTCTTATCTCCTGCTTGGTTCATGAGTACGGGTGTTGTGGTACATACTGTATATCTATCTACTGTATCTATCTATCTATCTCTCTCTCTCTCTCTCTCTCTCTCTCTCTGGTTGAGTGAGATCCTCTCTGCTCACCTGATGTATGTCTTCTGCTTGGTCCATGAGTACGGGTGTTGCGGTACATCCAGGAACCCGCCTCCATATCCCACTTCCTTCTTCATCCTGTCATCTGGACTCAGCTCGGTGTGACCCAAGTCGCTCAACGGCTCTATCTTCAGGCTGAGCGAGGTACTGTGCTCCAAACTGGTTTTCCTGGCTTTCAACGGTATCCCCTCCGTCAAATCCACCATCCCATCGGTCGTCAGCGCGTTTATAGCCGCCAGAATGGCCGAGTTGGTGTACTGGTTAGTGTTCGGTAACCATGTGTCATCCGTTATGCTCAGACGTGGAGACGCTTGTGGGGAGAGACCTGGCGAATGCGTCGGCGAATACGGATACTTATGAGGCGTCCCGCTCCCATTGAAACTATACTTCCTCTTGGCCCCGCATGGAGAACTCGACCTGGATCTGGGCCCCATCCAGGTGTCCTCCGTGATGCTAGCTCGCGGCGATCCAGACGGGGAGTGCGCCTCGCCAGGAAGAGCTAACGTGGAACCCTTCGGCGACAACGACGGCGACTGCCAGGGCGAGTTTTGCGGCGAGTTGTCGTAGTTGTAGGAAAAGCTGGACTCGTAGGATGAGGCTTCGGAGTGGCAGCTGCGAGACGAGACGCTGCTAGCCGGACTGAGGCAACTGGGATCCCGGTAGCCGTCTGCGTTGGGGAGAGTCAGCGTGACGATGGAGTTGACGCGTTTGGCCACGGGTAAGGCGCTCTCTTCCACCTCGTCTTCCGTGAACTGGCTGTAGGCGGTGATCTCGATGCGGGGGCTCTCTAAGGCCGGGGCGCCGTTGGGTCGTGGGGAGGAGTAGTAGCCGGACCCCCTGAGATCGTCCACCTGTTGGGCTTCGGTGACGGAGATGACGGGGCCGGACTGCAGGCTGTGGTACTGGGACGGCAGGCAGGGGGCGCTGAGGGGCAGAGACAGGCTGATGTTGGGAGTGTAGCTGAAAGCGTCTGCAAAGAGAATGGATGTGTTAGAAAGTGGTCACATTACGGACGAGTCAATAACATCGCAACCTTTCAACGTCAATTAGAGCTACAGCACGAGCACTTTGTTTTCCCTGTAGCACTGGGTCAAAACAACTTTACAGTAATGGTATTTGTGAGCTTTGATTCATTAATGACTAAACCTGTGTTAATGTTTCAGAGATGATCCTACAAACACTGAGCTTCCAGTTGCGTTAAAAGGGTTCTACTAAACTCTTTTCATAATAATACATTTTGTTTCACAGAAAGAGACAGGTTTGTGAATGAACAGACTACACCATGTCGTCTACATCGCATTAGGAACCATTTTATCTTTTGCAAACTTGTGAAAATACTTATATTTTGTCTCTATTTGACACTTTGGGCTGAGAGCTCTTCTTCACTTTTCTGTCGGAAAGAACGGACCTAAAGATGTGACAGAGGCTGGAGGTTTATTTATTATTATTCAGTATTATTCATTTATTTAGTACCTTTAACATGTTGCACACTTCTATCTGTGCCTAATGTGACGAGTACATTTCTCCATCAGAGATCAATAAAGTCTTATCTGTTTTATTAAGTAAAAACTAACTAGCTGGTTAGAGTAGATTGATTTTATTACTGAGTTACATAGTTGTGTGGTTTGAACGTTAGGTGCTGTGTTTTGTATTGACCAATGTGACTGAGAATCATCACGTTTAAAGCTGCACTACATAAGTTTACACTTTTGGCTCGGGTCAATCTCAAAGCTGTCAATTCCATTTAGATTAGACACAAGAAAATGACTTCACTTGGCGACGTTCCAATTCTGTGGAGAGGAGACAACCCAAGGTGAGAGTGAAGGTTTTTGATCAGGAAACCCAAGAGAAACAGCACAATACACATTTAATATAACTTTACAGATAATGTAGCCTGGTCGTACCACACCATAGTACTAATTACATTTCGTATTTAGGTCTGGATTTGCTGCATTGACTCCGTTACCAGGTGGGAGGGGCTAACTCCTTTTGCAGATTGAAACGATCTGAGTTTACTGTGACGTATGTAATGAGCCCGAGTGAGTGAGGCATTTAGCGTTTAGCCTAGCTTTAGCTTTTGGCCGAGCTTTAGCTTTTGGCCAAGCTTTAGCCATCTCCTTTGCCGCTAACGGAGCCCGTGGGGAGTAGCGCCACAATCTTTTCCAGAGATTACATTTGCTAAACATTCCTCTTGCTCCGGCTTCAGTTTCTTGATAGAACCAGACCAGAATACTTTACTATCACATTCTTCACCAAACTACAACCTGCCCGTTCAACGCTAACTCTTGACGTCACCGACACCGACCTACAACACCCGCCTCCCGCGCTCTCTGATTGGTCGGATGGAATTCAACTGATTGTAATCGCAAACACAGGGACCAGACCCAGACGTTACCTGCAGGACATGATGGCTGACCGGAGAGTACGGATGGATAAGACCAGGGTACAGAAAATATATAATTACTTTTCAAGTTCTGCCTGTGAAAAGTGCTGTTTAACCACTTCAGGACAAGGACTTGTTGCAGACTTGACAGTAGCCCATTTGATTCTTGGATCAGAATATTCTTTTAAACAAACCATTAGAAAACACTTGCTTTCCAACCAAACAAACCTTCCTCCCTTTAATACCGTTCCTAATAATGACGTCTCGCTGCCACTTCCTTCATGTCCTCTGATGAAGGCCACTCTTGTCCAAACTAAATTGAGTTTGAAGCAACACATTTCACAGTTCAGAAAGCCCAGGTGTCTTTTCCAGGACATGTGGCCAGCTCCCTGTGACTGATGCAGAAGCTCATAAAACATGGGATTATAAAAACACAGCAGTGCTTGGGTTGGCACGGCCCTCACTGTCGCAGCCATCGAAAATAAACACAGCGGAAAGAAGCAGCGAGTGTTTTTAGATGCCCACTGTAACTGCTACAGATGTTAGTAACTTCCCTGGTTTTGTTCTATGCTTGGGGCTGGTCAGATTATATGCCGAGTTGTATCACCATGACTGCAGTATTTTAATTTTATTATAGAGGCTAAACTTGTTATTCACACTCCCATTTAAAGGTACAGAGGCTCAAATAGATGCCACATTAAAGGTGCAGTAAGTGATGTTGTTAGCTTAGCCGTAGCACCAACTGGAAACCACTCCCCTCTCCACCAAACCACTCCCCCCTCCCCCCCCTCTCCACCAAACCACTCCCCCCTCCCCTCCCTCTCCACCAAACCACTCCCCCCCCCCTCCCCTCCCCTCTCCACCAAACCACTCCCCCCTCCCCTCTCCACCAAACCACTCCCCCCTCTCCACCAAACCACTCCCCCCTCCCCTCCCCTCTCCACCAAACCACTCCCCCCTCTCCACCAAACCACTCCCCCCTCCCCTCCCCTCTCCACCAAACCACTCCCCCCCTCTCCACCAAACCACTCCCCCCTCCCCTTCCTCTCCACCAAACCACTCCCCCCTCCTCCCCTCTCCACCAAACCACTCCCCCCTCCCCTCCCCTCTCCACCAAACCACTCCCCCCCCCCCCCCCTCTCCACCAAACCACTCCCTCCTCCCCTCCCTCTCCACCAAACCACTCCCCCCTCCCCTCCCCTCTCCACCAAACCACTCCCCCCCCCCCCCCCTCTCCACCAAACCACTCCCTCCTCCCCTCCCTCTCCACCAAACCACTCCCCCCTCCCCTCCCCTCTCCACCAAACCACTCCCCCCTCTCCACCAAACCACTCCCCCCTCCCCTTCCTCTCCACCAAACCACTCCCCCCTCCCCTCCCCTCTCCACCAAACCACTCCCCCCTCTCCACCAAACCACTCCCCCCTCTCCACCAAACCACTCCCTCCTCCCCTCCCCTCTCCACCAAACCACTCGCCCCTCCCCTCCCTCTCACAAACCCTCCCCCCTCTCCACCAAACCACTCCTCCCCTCCCCTCTCCACCAAACCACTTCCCCCTCCCCTCCCCTCTCCACCAAACCACTCCCTCCTCCCCTCCCTCTCCACCAAACCACTCCCCCCTCTCCACCAAACCACTTCCCCCTCCCCTCCCCTCTCCACCAAACCACTCCCTCCGCCCCTCCCCTCTCCACCAAACCACTCGCCCCTCCCCTCCCTCTCCACCAAACCACTCCCCCCTCTCCACCAAACCACTTCCCCCTCCCCTCCCCTCTCCACCAAACCACTGCTGATGCACAGAGTCAGATTTATGCAGCTAAAATCTGGAACAGTTTCCCTGAAAACGTGAGACAGACTTCTCCACGATGTTTACGTCCAGGTTAAAGACAGTTCTGTTTATCTGTGTTACAACTGAATCTTCACTCTTTTTAACGAACTGTGATTATTTATGAGTTTAATGTCTTGTTTGATTGTATGTATCGTGTTTTGTTAAGCACTTTGAGTAGCCTTGTGTATAAATGTACCTAACCTCACTTTTTCACTTAAAGGTGCAGTAAGCGGTTTTGTTATTTTAGACCAATCAGAGCTGATCAGAGCGGAGTCAGAGCGGGAAGGAAAGGAGCAGAGTTTGTGGCAGGAAAGTGTGGATTTAAAGAAAACCGAAGGATTTAATAAGAAAAAAAGTTCAGGACGACAAGGGACACTAAAATCTGATTTTTATGAAAGCTGTAGGTTCTCTGTCAGGTTCTCTGTCAGCTGAGGTCGAGCTGTTTTAATTTGCATTGAGTTGTATGGGGCTTTTTTCTGGGTAGCCCACGTGAATTTAGTCTCCAGTACCACAGCGCCCCCTGTGCCCATAGGTGGGACAGCTATAAGCTAGTAATACCCTATCCAGTTATTATTATAGATGTCTGCTGTCGTTGTGTCCTTGGGCAAGACACTTAACCCCACTTTGCCTTTAGCCCCCACTGAAAGATCAAGGCTCCTGTGGACTCAGCACCTGCAGGAGGATCAGTGAGGGGCTGGTGCTCTGACTGCCACCCACCCCCAACCCAGAAATGGATTAAGGGGAAGAAAATGGATGGAGGTGGCACACTCACGAGAAACAGGAAGAGGGTGAAGGGGGTAAACGCATCCCCTTGGTTTGTTGGGGATGAATGAATCCCATTGGTCCGATCCAAAATATGTTTTATTAATTTCTGTAGACTATCTGGTCCATTCCATTACTATTTGAAAACACATTATAATAACTTGATACTTTTACAGTTTAGGATGTGTCTGGAAAGAATCACTGACTGCATCTTTAACTACTAAACTATAACTGCAGTTCAAAAACATGTACAATTTTAAATTAGTCACACATTTCAAACTCAAAGCAGAAGTTGACGGACGGACGTGGGAACTCGGGCCTCGCCGCAGTAAAGACATGACATCAGCTTTGCACCGCGTGTCTCCAATAAAATCTAAATTTAAACTCTAATCTGGCACTGACACAGAAGCAAGCAGTAAAAAAAGAAAAAAAACTGTTGTCTATATTTAGAGGCATCACAAAAGGTTGCCCCAGGGATACGGCTCGATACGGCTCCAATACCGGATCATTCACCGCTGCTAGGAGAGAGTTTGTGCAAATGGGACTATTTTAGGAGCACTTTGTGAGTCAGAACAGACACATCCACTTCCCCCTCAAATCAGACGGGCGGCTGCCTGAGGAGAGCAGAACCATAGCTTTATTCATGCGAAGCGTTTCATCAAAGTTAAAAGTCAAACAACGCAGAAATATTGCGACAGAACTCAGCTTTAAAGGCGGTGTTTGGTGATGACGTTGATTAAAGTTTACACCGTTTCAATGTGATTTAATGTCTGTGTGTATGGCTCTAAATCACAGCAGCAGGACTTTACAAAGTTGTGGATCCATAAGCAACAGATCAAAGAATCAAAGTCAAATCAAAGGAACTGCAGGAATGTTTTAAAAGAGCCTTCTCACCTTCTTCAGCCGACTTCATTTTGCGTTTACGTCCCAACAACAACGTGACAGACTCGGAACTGCTTCAGATTATTGCAGTTTTCTCCATAAAGTGGAGTTTGTGTAATCCCAAGGCGCTCGTGAGGATTAAACTACAGACAAACTTCTTTCTGACGCTGAAAAAGTCCGTATCCAGAGCGTGTGCGTGAGCGTGTGCGTGTGCGTGAGCGGAGCTGGGGATTCTCTGTGATGCTGAGATCTGCTGCTGCTCCGTGACGCACAGACGCACTGCACGAGCGGCGCGTGGACCCGTGCGCTTTTAAACCCGGGGATCACCTCCCCCGTAGCCCCGCCCCCTCTGCGCTCCGGACGGTGACGCGCGCGCCCGTCCCACAGAAGGAGATCCTCCACGGGGTTTCCTCCGGTTCGAGCTCACCGTCTGGGGCCCGCGGTGATGAGGGCGGTTTGGGAATGGACTCTGCCGAACTGAGCAGCAGCAGAGAGTGGATACAAGAGGAGAACAGACTGACAAATATAAACATTATTTATTTTGTTTATTTTATTTTATTTTATTTTTTTATTTTATTTTATTTATTTTATTTATTTTACTTATTTTATTTATTTTATTTATTTTACTTATTTTATTTATTTCGTTTATTTCTTTTATTTCATTTCTTTTATTTATTTTATTCTCTCATCGTGTGACACACATGTATGGGCTAATGTGATCCCCATGAGGGCATTTAAAAACACAGTATAATAAATATTACATTTAAATTACACAAAGGCCACATGTTGAGGACGTTTCTCTTTGTGATAAAACATCAAACTGAATCTTGACAAACATTCAGCCGACTTGATAAACTTCCCCTTCAGTTTCTTCCTAAATAAAAACAAGGAAAGGCAAGTTTAATTGTATAGCACATTCATTCACAAGGCAACACAAAGGGCTTGACACAATCACACAATTAAAATAATCACAAAACTGTTTTAACTTAGATTTTCATATTTTCAAACTGTTGTTTTCCAAAAGCTTTTAACTTTGGCAAACTGGACTGTCAATGTCCTTATACAATAAAGTTTATATTTGATTTGAGGATTTCATGTTGTCAGTGCAGCAAACATCGTCTCCTACAAGAAGAACAGGACGAGGAACTGCTAAAACTAAAAATGAGACAAAACTCAGATTCTGTTCAAAATAAAACAGTAAAAACACTTTTTCTTTTATGCATCAGACACTTCTCTGGGACGGAAAGCAGCATTTGTTTTTAAAAGTCACCTACATAAAGTCTGTGTGTGTGTGTGTGTTTGTATATATGTGTGTGTGTGTCTGTGTGTGTGTGTGTGTGTGTGTGTTTGTATATGTGTTTGTGTGTCTGTGTGCATGTGTGTATTTGCGTTTGTGTACTAAACATGACACTTTTGCACAATAGTATGTGTGTGCGTGTGTCTGTGTGTGTGTGCGTGTGTCTGTGTGTGTGTATGTGTGCGTGTGTGTGTGTGTCGGTGTGTGCGTGTGTGTGTGTGTGTGTCTGTGTGTGCGTGTGTGTGTTTGTGTGTGTCTGTGTGTGCGTGTGTGTGTGCGTGTATGTGTATGACTGCTAAAAAAGAGCAGTCTGGATCTACGGTACTTAACAACTATCGTCCCATCTCAAATCTGCCATTTATGGGGAAAGTCCTTGAGAAAGTTGTCTACCTACAGCTTACTAGATTTCTTATAATCAACAACTCATTTGATATGTTTCAGTCCGGCTTTAGACCCCACCACAGCACTGAGACTGCTCTCGTCAAAGTTACAAACAATATCCGGCTGAACACTGACGCAGGCAAAGTCTCAATC